CCTTCCCTAACCACCCTCACTACCTGGCCCGATAGGTACGTCGACGTCGACTTCACCCGCTTTCTACTATGCGCTTTTTTCCGGTGCATCCAGGTGCATCCCTGCAACACGATCTACTAGACGCCCTCAGCACCCCTCGACTCCCTCCGCCCCTGATTTCCTTGGATGATGCCCACTGCCCTCCGAGTTACGTGAACGTAATACGAAATTGCAACAAGAGTTTGGATTGATGCAAGGTAGATGCATGCTCCGGTGCATCTTTTCACTTATTGAGAGAACACTCGTAGTGCGGTTGCACTTCGAGAATTGCGATTTAGTGTAATGCCCCATAAGAGCACTTTTACATTTTTTCTTTAGTTACTTAAGATACAGGTAAACCCCCTCTTTCCTACCCTGGTTTGTCTTCTCTATGTTCTATATATATATATATATATATGCTGGCTGCATATAAGCAAGGCCAATGAGAAACGTCATGATATTCCTCAGGTGTTTCTTATCGTGTGTCTTCGAAATTCAATTCTAAACACTAATATAATGGCGCTTGATTTAACACGTAACGGAGTCTATTCGATTTTATGGAACGATTGCGTGTGCAATCGACTGGAGACACTCCGTAAAGGACTATGGACGAAGTGCACGGAGTAAAAACAACTGTAGAAACTTTTTCTTTCTCTTTTAAAAGGAGTTTAACAAAAAAACAACAACGAACAGAAACGTTCCCTATAGCTGCTGCATTCCAGCTGCTAAGCACTTTTCAAGGTACATGCAACTAACCTAGTCCATGGGAATTGACCGATCACGGTACCGTGTCAGTGTTACACTGTCTATCCACACTCTGTGCATTCACCAGCAGATGATAGTATACCACTCTCCTAGTTTCTCGGTACCGTGCTGACCTCACTATCTTAATCAGCCACCTAGCCACCTAGCCTAACCGTAGGTATGGTCCTTGAACGGAAACCAATATCTACATTACAGACACTATATCAACGCGTTTAAGCATCTCCAAGGCAGTATAACCATCAATTCCTGGGCCACCTGGATTTTCATCGCTACCAACTATCATTTGGTTAGCGAAACGTCAGTTTCTAATCTTCTGCAATTTATTGTACAACCACGCAAGAGGGATCAAGGGTAAAAGGGAGTTAATCGGTGTTACAGTAAATCGAAGTTTAACCCGTCGATTTTGAGTTTTAAATAAAC